CAGTGGTTCGAGTCGTCAAAGATCCACGCCGCTGCTCTCATCATCGGGGAGCTGGCGGAGTGTCCGAGTCACTGGAGCTCAGTCAAATCCCTGGACCAGTGGCTCCAGGAGCAAGGAGTTCCAGGACTCCAAGGTAGGAAAGTCACAGAAGTCAGTCAGTCACTCTTGACAAAGGGAGTTGGCGAATACATGAATAATTATATCTTTAATGATAAGATTTGCTTTGAGCTTGTTGTGTCCTGTCCAAGGCATCGACACCCGCTGCCTGACCCAAAAAATCCGCGAGAAAGGGACCATGTTGGGGAAACTCGTTTTGGAGGGGACACCAGAGGACAGCGTTCCCTTTGACAATCCTGACAAAAGGAACTTGGTCCAGGAGGTGTCCATGAAGGTAAGGCATTTCCTGACCACATAAATCATTTAAAAAAAAGTTCTTGTTGGAGCCAATAGTCTTCCATCTTGACGCACTGCATTGTGGGTCACATGGCTTTCCTTGTGTCCCAAATTGTATTGAGGCAATTAATCTGCTGGCCTGTTCTACATATAGGCTGATATTCGGTGTTTTCAAAATAATAAGGTGATATCTCTTATTTTCTCATGAAATAGTAAATACTGGAGGTAAAGGTCATGCGAGCGTTAAGTGACCAAAAAAAGAAGTTATTTACATTTTTTCTAATTTATCTATTTTTTGAGGGGTGGGGTTGTTTGTTTTTATGATGCACCAATATATTGCTTATTGGATTTTTTTTCCTGCCAAATATTGGGATTGGCATCACCCTTAAAAAAATCCACCTTGGTTGGTCCCTAGCACTAATCCATATTTCAGGCCATAAATTATGTAAAAAATGGTTCAATCCTTTCTTTTTGGTCCAGGAGCCGCAGTTATTCAACCCCGGCGGTAGTCTCCGGGTCACCGTGGTGGACTGTGGCGTTAAATACAACCAAATCCGCTGCCTGGCCGAGCGAGGGGCCCGCATCACTGTTGTACCCTGGGACCACCCTTTGGACAGAACAGGTCTACATGACATTCGCGTTCCTGGCTCTTGAATTCAGCCCTTGTTGATTGCTCATGCATTTTCTTGTTTTTTGTCGGCTCCAGAATTTGACGGTTTGTTCATCAGCAATGGTCCCGGTGATCCGCTTCTCTGCCAGGCCACCATCGACAACGTGCGGAAGGTGGTGAACGTGGATGACCCCAAGCCGGTTTTCGGCATCTGCCTGGGACACCAGCTGCTCTCTTTGGTCATTGGAGCAAGGACCTACAAAATGAAGTCAGTAACCACTTGATAGCG